GAAAAAATCATCTGGGGTGACGGTCGTGCATCGCATGCATTTCTTATGGTATGGCCTCTAAATGATACTCAATTAACAGTAATTGAAATTAAATTTGGCGGTATTAAAAGAATGATATTGAATACTAGACAAGTTGACGATTTTCTACCCGTGATAACTCAAATAGAATTTCTTGGTATAGTATCATATAAATTAGATAATTTAATCAATGATGCTAAACATTATGTAGAATTAAATCCACATTACAATACCATATGTAACAATTGTCGATCATTAGTCGAATATTTACTCGACAAAATTCCGGAATTTCGCAGTTTACCACGTGAAAACCATTCTGTTCTAGAATATTATCATCAGCAATCGAAAATTAATCATAAAACACGAATGGAACGATTTATCGAAACAAATAAAAAGAAAACATTGTACAAATCGCTAATACACAGTCTACAAGAAAATAACTCGAATGAACTAACAAAATTTGATAGTATCAAGAACAAACAATTACCTTTAATAACAAATGAACCCATAAATTTAAAAGAAAAACTTCGTGAATTATTAATGTTAGCAACAATACCATCGCAATTCTCTTCTACTTGTGCATAATAGATAGAGTCTCAGTGAAATTGATCAAACCAAATTGTTTTAACGCATTCCCAACTCTAATGATTTAAAACGCGCACGATTTAGAGTGCGTACCAATACGCTTAGATTCACTGAACGCGTTCAAAAGGATTTTGGGGCGAACGCACAGTAACAATTGAACTGGTCGACTTCACCGCGTTACAATGTCATTCTGTGCGATAGTTTTAGCCGTTCCAACGTGTGCGACTGGTCGAACACGTTGGAACACATTTTTTTAACTTTTTAAATTTGTGCATGTGAGAGAGAATGTGTTCATACGCGCTAGAGAATTGTGTTAGTCATTCCAACGCGTCAGAATTTTCATTTGTATGATTAAACTATCTCATGGGATTGTCTTCCAAAAAAATTAATTCTTTTTAGTCTGGATGGTCTGAAGAACATTCTTGTTTCTTCTTCTTTTCGCTAATGAACAACCTATATATATGTTGTATTGGAAATCAAAATCTAGGGCGATTTAAAATTCCCGTAGAGAAAATCAAAATTTCGAGTTCTACTGAAAGAATGTCAGTAGAAATCAAAAGGACGGGAGGGGGGCTTATAAAGGTCAAAATTTTCCCGCAATATTTCTGAACAAGAGTTACATATTCAGAATCAGCGTGAAGTTCTGCGTCGAGTGAGATATATGCCACCTTGGAAAAACCATTTTCAATTTCTCGGAAAATTTGGAGCCTATCCCACCTTTGGAACATCGAAAAACGTTTTTACTCAGAATTTTTCTAAAGATACTTTATTCGATGCAGAATTTGATGCTGATCGTGAATATCAGGTCAAAACTGGAAAATAGTTAAGTTTTGATCGAAAAAAATCGATTTTACTGACAGGTGGCGTCAG